GTTTTTTCCCCTCAAAAACTACATCAGTGCGCATGCGCTGGCAGACAGAAAAAAAAAAAAGCAGATCCGCGGAAGGACGTAAAACTGGGAAAAACAGTGTAATCATCACTTATTCATGTCTCTAACTACGTTGCTAACTATATCTTCGGGTTAGGGTTAGGGTCAGGGTTAGGACTAATTGTATTTTAAATTCTATGTTCTTGAATGGTGTGTAAAATGCGCATGCGCATAACACGAAAAAAAACGTCCAAAACGTACGAAATTACGGTGCATAACTTTTCCTACGATTTCATACGAACTCATAATGAGAATACACGGAGCAAGAAGGTTCTGGGTTCGATTCCCGGCCTGTGGTCTTTCTGCATGGAGTTTGCATGTTCTCCCTGAGCATGTGTGGGTTCTCTCCCGGTACTCCGGCTTCCTCCCACAGTCCAAAAAAAACATGACTGTCAGGTTAATTGGCTTCTCTAAATTATCCTTAGGTGTGAGTGTGTGTGTGAGTGGTTGTTTGTCTCTGTGTTGTCCTGCGATGGACCGGTGACCTGTCCAGGGTGGACCCCGCCCATTGACAGATGGAGATAGGCACCAGCACCCCTCGCGACCCCACTTGAGATAAGTGTGTTAGAAAATAGATGGATGGAAAACATGCTGGGTTTTTTTGCAACATCCAATTTCAAATTTAGCTTTTTTGTTTCGTTTAAATTTCCACTTACAAAACATTTTTTAAATTTCAATTAAGAAAACATGATGAATTTTGTTTCCAATTTCTATTTCGCAAATGTTTTTTTTTTATCCTATTTTATTTATTGTTTTCTCGCAACAATAATAGACTAAAATTTTACTCCGTATGCACCTCTTCCTCAAACAGAGCCTGCGATATGGAGCCGTGACCTCTCTGGTCCTCCTGCAAGTGAAAACCTCTGGTATCACTCTGCACTAAAAGGCATAAATCCTTGTCGTATTACCAGAAAACCATTGATTCAGACTCGACGTCATTAAAAAAAGACTCCACAAGACACTGAGGAACATTAGTCATCTTATATATTATGTATCAAGGCCTGAAGATGAGTTTTCTTCACTCGTTCCCCTTGAGAATGCCACCTGATAAACTGAAACCAAGAAAGGCGATTATGAATCCTCTAAATGTCCAGATATCCTTCAAAACCCAAGTGGCACTTCTTGGAGATTAGCAGAATGGTATTTTCCATCAGTTAACCTCTGCAGTGAGATTCTAATTTGATAAACGTCCAGAGATGTGGCGACGGCACATAAAAAAAGTTGGATATCTCCGCAATGACTTAGCCAGATATTTCTCTGGGATGTTTTATCATTTTCTGAAATAACATCAAGATTGTAATAAGATATGCGACAGCAACTAGAGCCGAGAGGCAGAATAAAAAATATTCTTTTTTGTAAAAAAAAGTCTCTGCTGAAAAGAAGAAAGAGAAGGAATTGGGTGCAAAAGTTTGAATTTAATGTTGATTATCTTTAATATTTGCAAAGTTAAGGCTAAACCTACAGATTCAAGTCGTTAGCAAGTTAGAAATTAACAAAATACTTCTGGTACAACCCTGTCTATACATTTAGTCTTTTTACTTAGCAGAATTTGTCAAGGTTGTTTCAATCAATCAGTTCAATTTTAGCCAACTTCATTAAAGAAACATGCTTTTTTTTAGATGTATCGTGATTTTATCTTCTTATCAGATCAACAACCATGTCCAGAATTCACTCGTCTAGAAGCAGAAGTGGAATAAGTGACTGATGCCATGATGTTGGACCAAATTTGGAAGAGTTTATTGACCTTGTTGATTTCCTAGCACAGAGGCAATTCTTAACACTTTAAACGAGCTTGCGTTGAAATCTATGTGTCCACGCTATTACCATTCCAGCAAAACAATTGCATTCAGATGATAGAAAGATCTGGAGCTGCACTGAAATTGGCAAATTCAATGGAAATGCTGGAACTCCAATTTTATAGTTTATTAAGAAGCAGGTTGTAGTTTTAAAGTGGGCCATGCTCAAAAGATTTGGATAAATGAGACAAATTCTTGAGTTTCGTCACAGTTATGAGACAAAATGATTGTAGAATATATATAGATATGAATAGTATGCACTAGATTCATATAACAATTAAAAACGATCTAGTTTAATGAATCCAGAAACGTCACAAAGTTTCATATTTAAACAACCATTGGAGAAGTGAAAAAGACAGATGTAAAAATCAATCAAATTTATGTCAGATTTGTTTCTTTTCTTGTGACATTTATTAGGTCTTTTAAAACGTATGGCTATTAATAATCAATTATGTTAGTTGAAATGCTAAAAAACACTGTGTTATTATAAAAATTGCAGACAGGGTAACAGGAATTTATACTGTGTCACAGAGCCACAGCAAAACATTAGAATATTTTAATGTGAACAAAACATAATGTCTGAAAGGTGGCCAAAGCAGGACACATCTCATGATTAACAAACTTTTTATTTGTTTTAGTGGGCGAAATTACCTAAACCAAAAGTAGAATAATAGAAATTGCTGCTTTAATCACTCATTCTTTCAATAAGCTATGTAACTTGCTATGATTCCAGGTTTATTAGGTATGTAATATATAAGTTGAGCTTAGCATACACATCTGATGTGGCTCACAATGGTCCTCAGTGGAATTGGGGGATCTTGTAGTCGTTTGACTAGACACATGCAAAATTAGAGGGAACCCTAAACACAATCCTGGGCATAAAATAAAAATAAAAATAAAAGTAGCTGCAAACTGATTAGAAATGTAAAGGTATGTTTTTAAGCAGTAAAGCTAACGTTGGCTTAGCTCCTACAAAGTTTTACATTTGACATTACTCCTTTTAGAGCGTATTGCTTCTGCTGTCAGAACGTATCAATGAAACAAAGTTATTTAATTATGAATTCACACAACTTAGATTTATTTTAAATCAGTTAAACAACTCTTAACTCTTTAAGATAACCTCAATAGACAAAATAGAATCAAACTTCTACTAAAAATGCATGAATTTTTACTCAATCCAGAAAAACAAGAGTTAATTAAAGGCTTAAAATTAATCAAATATCTTTGGGCATACTGAGACTATGCATGATTTGCGCCAATAATGTAGATATAAACAAATGAGGTTTTGTCAATTCGAAAAGTTTGTTCGCTAAAGTATTTTATATTTCCTACAGGAGGTTCAGTTAACTGGAAAGCCTGGGCTCCCTGTGGCAAAATGTTTGAGCCAGCTGAGTCTGACCGTGCCCCCGCCCATCTACCCACGCAGCAGCTGCAGCAGCAGTGAGATATCCTTGTCGAGCGCCTGCAGTGAATTCTCCAGCGGCTCGTACACCTGGAATGATGGACGCTCCTGTGGGAAAATGGTAAACCCTGAACATCCGTTCCACAAAACAATCACAAGTGGCAGCTCATCAAAGTTCCCCTTTCATTTGAGGCCCTAATTAATCCCATGTCCTCCTGGAAGAGTTTGATGACCATGACTTAGAAATACTTTTAAAACTTTCCCATGGGAAGTTGTTAAAATAAATAATACATTTATTCTAAGGTTAAATAAAGATTTGCTATTTTTACTTGTCTAACCAAAACCTTACAAAAATTCCCCCAGAAGAAATCCTGTTGAAATACATTGAAAGAAATGCTAAAAATTAGTAATTATATCATGTGTTTTTCTCTTTTTGCCTTAAAGTCTTCTCTTACGTGGGAGAAGAGGCTGAGTTTGGGTTCATCAGCTCCGAGTAACATCTGCGCTCCCGCAGAGGAGCAACGACCCACAAGATGCAAGGAGAGCCACATATTAGAGGGACTCAGGAAGCTTCAGAGGAGGAAACACAGGAGTTCCTCATGTTCTTCAAAGGTGTCCAGATCAGGGTACAAAGACTGCATGAACTCCAATGAGGGTATCTATTCCCTGGGTATCAAGAGTGGAACTAAAGGGGTTTCCAAGCCCAGCCAGTGTAGTAGGACTTCCGCTGCTCGCAGCAAGCAGTTCTTTTACGATTCGGATGATGCCGATGATGAATTGGCACAGTCCAGCTGCCGAGATAACATCCCCACCAAGGACAGTTGGTTTCACTGTAAGAGACTCTCGCACAGCATCTCGGACAGTTTATGTAGCTGGGAGGGGACGCAGGAAAGTGGAACTGGACTCGGTGCTTCTTCAGGACTAATGGTTACAAACCCTTGTTCCAACTGCGACTCCAAAGAGCGTCCAGAGAAGCTTGTAAGTTTCGTCAACAATTTTCTCTCGGATGGAGAGCACAAATCAGCTTTTAGTAAACCATCAAAGCTTCATTTCAACCCCCCTGAGCCAGAGAGTCCCAAGCGCCTCTGTGATGTGGACAACCACGAGGAACTCAAATCTGAGTGCGGTAATGTCCGGATGTCCTGTGACCAGTCAACAGAGCAAGCAGAGAGGGAGTTCAAAAGACTCTCTAGGGATGCTGCCAAGCTCCTCAAGCAGAAATATTTGGGCAAAGACCAGGGGCGCACCCATTCTGCAGATGGGAGAACCATACCTTTTAGCCTGATGAAGGAGCCACAAGCATCCAAGTGCACCCAGTCAGAGGAAAGCATACTGGCTATATTTGATGCAGAGGGTGAACCTATTGAGCTCTGTCCCCAAAGGCTTTCAGCAGAAGCAGATGAAAATCAAGGTGGCAAAAAAATAGCTAATTATGCAGAATTAGTACAAAAGGAGAGGCCAACAAGACAAATATCTGCAAATGCAAGAAACTATAACGTTCTTGAATCTCCAGAAAAGTCCTCGGCGTGTGAATCCTGGACTGCTAAATCAGGCAATAGCAGGGAGGGAAGTGCAGAAAGACTGTCTTTGCAGCTGACGCCTCAGAGAAAACTAATAAAACCTCCAAGCATCCGTGCAAGTAAAGGTCAGTCTATCCCTCCATTAAAGGACGGTGCTTCCTCCAAGTCTAGTGGTTCAAAGATTCCTGGTCGGAACAGACCGTCAGCGTCACCGCTGAGGGTGTCTAAAGGTTCAACTGAACCAAGCAATAGTGGAAACTCAGGATCCTCCAATCAGGAGAAATCCCCTTCTTCTCCGACAGTAAAGCTATCCAGATTCATCAAAACACAAACAAGCTCTCAGAGTCCAAAGGCTGTAAACTCCAAGCTTTCCAACAGGGCTGAATGGAGTAAGGGTCCTTCATCCACTTCCCCCCAGCTCCCAAAGAGGCTCTTGGAATATGGTGACACAAGTGAACAACCAACCAGAGACAAACACTGTGAACCTAGCAAAAATAAACTCAGGTCTCCCTCTCCTCCCCCTCCCCCGGGCCGCACCACCTCCTTACTGATCAGACCAAATTATGAAAGTTCACCTCAGGCACATAAAACAGGGGTGACTCAACCATCCACACTAACCACTGGGAGAGGGCCTCCCCCAAGTTACTACACCTCATTAGCACCAAATATGCAAACCACTTTACCCATCAAGGATAAAGACTGTTTGGATTTGGACGCAGGCTATGGGACTGCACTTGCACCTCAGAAACTGGTGGAAAAAACCAGTCAGCACCTTCAGAAGTCCCCCATTGTGACTCAGACTCCTACTAAAGGCACTTCGAAACGAACAAAAGACTACCTCCCTTCTGCAAACTCAGGGTGTGCTCGCGAACCTGATAATGCACCTCGAAGCTCAAAGAATGTCCCTCCTCCTTACAGTGCCCTAAGAGAGTCCTCCCTACAAAATACATTTGCGATCAAGAAAGGACCTGATCATGAAAATGTTAGCCAGACAGTGCAAAAGATCTCGATAGGTTTACCCATAGCCTCCCATGACTCCTCCCAGTGTCAGACAGAGCCGCAGAATGGTAAAGCCATAACTAGCCCTCCTGCCTCTAATATTACGTCGCCTAACCAGACAGAAAAGGCCTCAAAGACTCGTATCCCAATGGGTTTTAAAGCCTTTTTAAAATCACCTCCAACAAGTAAGACTAGTCCCACTGTTCCAGGTAAACAAGAGAAAGATCATATCAACTCGGTCTCCAAGGAGACCGTGACTTCAAATGCTTCGACCCAGTGTGACGCCTTGCAAGCAGTGTACAGTATTGATTTGCCACCCAAGATGTCTTCCACAGAGGGGAAAGGGGAAGTTCAGTGCTCCGCACAAGAAGACGAAGTGCCCATCACTGTGTTGCCTGTCGAAGGCGATGGTTGTGATAAGGGGAAACGGAGTAGTCAACTCTTTGGTCGATCCATATCTGTTACGACAAAAGCCCACCTGAAACCAGCTTTGGGAATGAACGGCGCCAAAGCTCGTAGCCAGAGTTTCAGCACCAACTACATGGAGAAACCTAACATCAATGGGCTTGAAGGGCCGGGGAAAATTCGGACTCAGATCATTACCAACTCAGGTGAGAGGGGAAACTCTCTTTCAAGGCAAAGTTCTTTGGACGTACCCACCGGTGGGTTAGCTGAGAGCCCGGTCCATTCACCCAGGACGAGGCTGAGCCACTATGGAGGCATGACAGCTTCAGCCAGCAGCAATGTCCTCCCTGAAAAAAACTCTAAATTAGGTTCTAAGTGTGAAGGCGTCACCTCGCCATCTCATAAAGAGGTGCGAAGCCTGCCAACGAGCGATAAGGCAAGTTTCAATAACATCCGGAAACCAAAAGTTGCCTCTCATCCACAATTTCATTCCCATCCATCCTTTTATGGTTCAGAAAACCCTGCAAGAGAGACAGAAACCCTGGTACCCAGTCCAAACGAACCAGTCAAAACCCAGTTGGATGCACAGATTAAACCATCTGATGCAGAGGAGCAGAAAATCAGCCCGACAGCTTGCACAATTGAAGAGAAAGTCATGATGGGAATTGAGGAAAACTTACAAAAATCCCAAGAACAGGAGAAGGTAGCCGCAAGTGAGCACAAACAAAAGACCGGCCCATCTCTCGCAAACTGGTTCGGCCTCCGGAAAAGCAAGCTTCCAGCTTTGAGTGGCAAAAAGTCGGACTCTCCAAAGGGAAAAGAAGAGAAGAAGGACCTAAAGGTCGGCTCCGTCCTTGGGGTAAAACCGATCAAGCCAGAGAAGAAGAAAGACAAAAAGAAGGAGAGCCAGGACGTACAGAATCTGTCTGAGATGAACAACAAGCTGAGCGCTATCATGGACCACTGCAACAATCAGATGGGTCAGATCACCAGTCAGATCCAATGTACAACGGCATTCATCGGGAAAGACCAATTCGTCAAAGACCTCCTTGGCAGGTAGGTAGAGAATTGTTAAACTCAAACTGTTCAGATACTGAAATCAGCTCTTTTCATGTAACTCAGAGAAAGGTATGTTAAAGCTAAGAAAAGCTCCACATATACTTATCAGAGCATGGATTTTCCACTTTCAATCCCATCTGACAGAGAGAGCATTTAATGGGGGGCTGTTTAACATCAAATGAGAAATTTCCATGTATGTTTCTTGGGTAAGGGGTCTGTTTGCTTTCATGAAAAGAGCAGGTTACAGCAATTTATCAGCTCTTCGGCTTGATAAAGGAGCTGACAGACATAAAACCAACATCTCATTCCCTCGCAGGACGGCTGTGAAGGTCAACGGCGTGACAGCCTCACCACCGGCCATGTCAACACCCAAGAAGCATGGCGAAACGAAGGCCGACATGCAGATCTGTACTGAAACAGCGGTAAGTGAGCAAACTTCTGCCAACTTTTGTTGCAGTTGTACGTTTTGGACAGAAGCTAACATGCAAATTCCCACAGGCTTTTCTTTTTGCTTCACACTCAAACAGAACTTCCATCCGCCTCTGCAGCTTCATATCCCCGGAAGGCTCTCTATTGATTTACATTGTGTTCTGACTCAGCCTACTGTACAAAACATCTCCTGTTTATTTTGCTATGTTTTTTTTCAGCTTAGGCTGATGTGTGGAATGTCAACAAGGATGAGCAAATCCGAAGCTTAAATTAGCCTTCATCTAGCAAACGGGTACAATTGTTGAAAGTATTTAGACCCATTTAGTAGAATTAAACAATAAGATTTAATGGCTTTTACTGAAATATTTTCTGACAACAATACAAGGTCTAGTCTATGATTATGAATTTAATTTGAATTTGTCAAGGCTATTTAGATAGTCCAGCCCTATCTAAATTCAGGCCTGGACTTTGACTGGGCCATTTTTTAAAGGTGTATTTATACTAAGCAGGAGCAAAGCAAATGGGTCAAGCAATTAACATTTTGCCCCTTTATAAAAACGCAATTCCAGTGGAATAAGGGTCGGCAATGTGAAAAAAACGCACATTTTGAGCAATGCAAAGTGGGTAAATCGGAAAAATAAAGCAAAGCGACCCTGTGGAAGCACAAATAAAGCGAAATATAAAATGCGCAGAGCGTAGTGGATGCACAAATAAAATGAGGGATAAAATTAGCATAGCGCGTTGAAATTGATACACAATTAGAATCGAAAATGGACAGTGCACGGCTTTAATTGATTGTAATAAGGACCCAACTTATGAGGTAATACTTCTTTAAATGTATTAATAATAAAACAGTTAAACCTAATTTATTTACACTTTAATTGTGGTAGTGTTGCGAATTTAAAGGAGATATGAGTTTATTGCAGTATTTAATTAACTGTGTTGATTTTTCTTTGTAAAACTATTGTAAAGGTTTTTGGGTAAACGTGGCTTCGTACAAACTTTTTTGTAAACAGAAGGGGGGCCCATCAAGACAAATGAAGTGTGAACAAAGCTTTATGTAAAAACATACGGCCAATAAAAGTGACAGTCATCCATCAGCGGCTCCTGCAGGCAAACTGGGAGACCCAGGGAATAACAGGAAGCTGTTTTCAGTTTTCCGCCTTACATACGATTAGGCACACAAGTCGCTCCGTAGAATCAAGGTCTGCCTCAGTGAGTTAAACAGACTAGAGGAACCGGCTAGCGGATGAAATTATCTGCTTTTCTGATGCCATAAAACAACCTTGATAAAATTTCACCGTGTCGTCCGCATTGATTTCTTGCGAGAGAAAGACAAAAAAAAAAAATGTGCCTTGTTCGCGTTTAGGGGTAATTCTCTTAGAGGGTAACTCTTAACCCTGAGTTTTCTTCCAGAGTTTGTTTCCTGTTTTTAGCTGCATCCATCTGCCCCAGCTTATGGAAAACATCTCAATTTTATAATGCTGCCACCACCATGCTTTAGCATTACGATGGTAAACTAAGGAAGATTTATAGTATTTGTTTCCTCTACTAATCAAGTAAATTTTTAAGGCATGTTTAAAGATGAGGTAAATATCAAATATCTTTTTACCTCTGCTCCATTCTACATTACTGTATCAATAATAAACATAAGTTGGTGGTAGTGCAGATATGTCCTACATCATGATGCTGCCACCACCATGTGTCACAGTAGGGATGATATGATGAACTGTATTTGTTCTCTACAGCAAACATGTTGTACTTAGGGCAAAACAATTTTTTTTTTTCATCAAAACCTGCCAAATTTATAATTTGGACTTGTTATGAGTTTCTTCCCATTGTTTTTTCCAATGTGTAATAGTTATTTAGAGGTATCAAAATAAAAGGGGCTGAGTACGAACATGTTTAACGTTGCATCAAATTTACATAACCGTTGTTGTCTGTTAATATGTAAGGAAGGATTAGTGAAAAGCTTTAAAAGGAGCGAGGACGTAGAAGGAGCCATTTCAGCTGATGAGAGGAGGGGGCATAATGGGGGAAATTTAATCCAGACTGATGTGGAACAGCGATAACACGAGGCGCCGTTTATCGCAGGCACTCCTCTCCACAAAAGGGTCATTTAAAAGCATCCTCTGAGCGCACTATCTGCTCCCTACAGAAATTCAACAAAAGTGCTCCACTTTATGACCGACAAGCCCCCCCGTAGCCCAATTAGACAGAGAGAGAGGGAGACAAAAAGAACAATTACCTGCTTCTCTTGCCACAAAACAAAGTTAAAAGTCATTAATGAATTGAGTCAGGGCCTTAATTTTAGTTCACATATCGGTTATTTTAATGTCTGTGTGATCCAGAGATCTTTTGAAGGTTTTGTGAGCATTATGGGGCATTTGTTCGTATTACAGACCCTTCTAATGACTCAGAAGATCAGTCTGAAGGTCGAAAACGAGGATGGACACATGCCGGACTCCACCTGTCAAGACCACATGATAGGTAGGATTATCAACGGCTTTGGGTTCATCTCTCTACAGTTTTCAAATATTTCTTTTTTTCTATTCATCTCTCTCTTTATGGCTTTATTGTTGCATTGCAACACATTTTTCTACATTATTACATAAATTCTTTAGCTTTTTATAATGCTTTGTGTAACACTAGGAGATTACTTATTATCTAATCTGATTAAAAAACCTTTTCAGATCATTCATATATAACCATCCCGATAACTATCCCGAACATATATATATATATTTTTTTACTTTCTTATGTGCTGGTGAAGATTCTCAGTCATCCAGGTCATAGTCATTCAAAAAATGTCCTCCCCATTACTAAGGGGGGTGGACCTGTTTTTTCGGTTCAATTTGCATGTTTTCTAAGCCATAACGAGGCTTTGTTGGGCTACTCTATAAAGTTTGGAATTGACATTTTGAATGGAAGGAAGGGAAACGTCTTTAAACTTGGAAACAAAGTCCGGTGGTTTGTTTTTTGTTTCTTACTTTCTTATGGTTCATGTTTGATCAAATTTTTAAAGTAAATTTAATATATTTGAGGTAATCTGTTATGTTAGGAGAAAAATTGGGATCACGATCAGCTAATCGGTGCATCTCCAGCGAGGGCCTTGGCCCGTTTGCCTCCTGTCTAGAGCCAACTCTGGTGTTTTGCTAAAAAATTTCCGTCTGCTCCTCTTCGTTCAGCTCTCTGCCTGTTCTCTTCAGCTCGCTCTCTGTCCACTATCAAAGAGCTTCAGTGATCTGTTTCTTGTTGGGTCAGAATTCAGCAGCTGTTCGTCTTCTGGAGTATAAACAAGCTTAATTTTTTGTTCCTGCCACTTTAAGAACAAAAACAAATACCTTTTCTCTTGCTTAGTATGTTAAGAAGACTTAAGGGCGTTAGCTGCAAGTTTAACTCCTCCCAGTCAGTAGGAGGCACTGCTCACACTCACTGCTCTCCTACTGCGCAGTTCTCTAGGAAGACATTTTAAAATGATGAAGTAAAAATAAATATTCTAAAAAAATAAAATCACTGTACTAAAAAAAAAAAAAAACGCCAAGTAGGCTATATGATTAGATGAAAATAAAATAAAAAATGCCGCCATAAAATAATAAATGATGTTTAAATTAATACATGCATAATAAATGAACAACCTATTTAGCGACTGAATAAATACATACATAAAAAATAAACGGAAACATAAATAACTTCATATTATGACAAATTATTAAGAAAAAATCCCTAAATGAACAAAACAGTCATTATTTAATAAACACATAAAAACACTATCAACAAGCCTTGTCCAATATGATTAAAAGTAAAGAATAATAATAAAAATTAAAATAATAATTAGTGGAATTAGTTACATTTCGTAGTTAATTAGTTCGTTTTTCTTGAGTTCCTTGGTCTCCATCATTTCCAATAATATTTTAGGATCATTTATGGTGTAAAAGTTGATCAAGGATGTTTTTTTTGGACTGATTATCTTTAAATACCAGTTCCTTTCAGCTTAAAATCAATGAATCTTTTCCAGCAGCTCTCCATGCTGCCAGGCTAGCGTACTCTAACAGGTTCATTTCCAATCCTTCCCATAGAGCCTGAATTAAACGTGGCTCCGCGGCTCTGCCGTAACGCCGCCTCTCTACAAACGCTAACGACCTAACGGCAGGTAAACACATCAATCATATAAATAGTTTACGCTCCATCAGTTCATGATCCCAGACCAATCCAGGCTTGGGTCAGAAACGTTTAAAGAAGAACCTGCCTCCAGGTGGCTTTTTCATCTTTCTTTTTTTTTTCTTTTTTCCTCATAAAAGAACAATAAAATTATCGGCTTTGAAATTTACTTTCAAGGTTAAGACTAAAGGAGCAGCAGACTCTGGTTTAATATGTGACAATGGAGCTTAATGCTTCAGGGGATCGCAGGTAGTCCCTCCTCACTACTCCGCACGCTGAAGATATCAGCTACACAGCCTGCGGCTTGTGTACAGAAGTGATAGGGAGCTCATGAAAAACTAGATTACGTCCAGTTGTTTTTTTAGCCGCTGGGTGGAATTACTGTGGACCTTGTTATAGTTGGGATATAGAGGGCATTTTGAACTGCCAGGTTTGGCATTCAATTACCCAGCTGTGTAATCTATGGCTCCTTCTTACAGTGAAGTTCTTGGCAGTATTGTTTGGCTGTACGCCATTAAAGAAGGATTTCTCTTATATTTCAGCTCCTCTGGAGGAAGAGTTTGTTAATTTAGGCCAGAGGAGAGTTTCCGTAACGCCTCATTAAATGCCAGGATTAAGTCTATAGATGCACCGATTGGACATTTATATCGGTTCCGATATTGGAGAAAGTTCTAGATGTGTAAAATAGGCTATAATCCTTAGGGGCAGATGTGTTTAGTCTATTTCTGTAATAAATTTAGGTTGGATTACACATCCCTTTAACAACAGAAAGGTTTATCACTTTATGGGGTTCTGTCGAGGACAGTGGCAGTCCTAGAACTAATTTACCTGGGGCCCCGGGGTGGGGCCAGGGTTGTTGTTTTTTTAGATTGCGACAACAACCGAAAGAATGAAACAAAAAAAAGGGAAGAATGCAGGAGTGCATTGTTTGATATTTTAATATACACAGATATGTGTTTTTTTATATAGTTATATCAATAGTTCGACCGATCCTTCATATGTGTAGCCGATTTTGTTAGGCCAATATTGCTTCTCTTCCTCTATTTACAACTTTAAAAATAACTAAATGAGATCAACTTTCAGTAAAGTCTCCTATTAAACAACAATAAACATTTAACAAATCTAGCAAAGTAAAATAACAAGCAGAGCGAGTGGCAAAACACGCACATGCATGGGTGCCCTAATGAATCGGTTAAAGCATATGCGTATCGGCTAATACAGAACCAAGGATGCAAATATTACCTGAAATATTTTATATCGGCCTACTTCTAGACTTAAGATTAAAATAAAAAATGAAGCTGGTCCGAGTAACGGTTTTTATTCTAGTGTATATAAAAATATGTATCATCAGTTTATTTTTTATGTCTTCAGTACAGGGGCCCAGTTCAACAAGAGGCACTGGCCCCGGTTGTCCCCTGTTTAGAACCACCTATAGTCTCTGATTTAATGAATACAGTCATTTTGAACCCTTACAGTTAAATATTTTTTTAGGATGGATTATTTTCTGGTGATTTTCAGTCCACCTATAGATAGAGCCTCCCTGGATAGCATATAGGCTGCGGCCCAGGGTTGTAGCAAAGAGGGGCAACCAGTGCACACTTTCTTTTCCTCTGGAGTACATACTGTAGACTAACCTGTGATGGCATTTCATCCAACCCCTCGGAACCAAATCCTTGAATCTTATTGGTCCTTTTGGTTGTTTTTCTAAGTAAATATTCACAACTTTTCAAAGACAGAGAATTTTTTTTTTTTAAGAACTTAAATAAAGTCATTTGTTGAGCTAACAGAGTTGGGAATCGCCTTTAAGGGTAATGTGCCACTGATCTTACAATCATGACTTGGATCCAGCTTCTCCTGCTGTGGGTTTTCTGTGTTGCTCCACTGATCCTTTTTTTTTTTTTTTTTTTTGCTTCTCTTTTTTGACTTATCTGGTACAGATTCCGTATTCTCTCCCCCCCCTTTCCGCTGCATGTAACTCTGAGCCGTCCTTCCTTTTTGCTCCCCCCCCCCCGTATTGTTGTTGTGGTCACACTCCGTTCCCTGTCCCTCTAGGCTCGAGCTGCCAGATGCGAACTCTGGACAGCGGCATCGGCACTTTCCCCCTCCCAGACTCCGTCACCCGGGCCGGCGGCCGCCACGTCCCCAAATCTGAATCTGGTCCGGACGGGGTGGCCGCCAGCACCTCTGATCCCTCACAATCCGACGCAACAGCACCTTCCCTCCTCAAAACATGCAGCATGGCCCACTCCGCCTCCGAGCCCAGCGTGACCAGGAGGAACGTTCCAGAAATCCAGAGCCGCCTGCCCAAACCCTCCTCCTCAGGTCAGTGGTTCGTCTCAGATGACTTCCCGGAAATATGGGATGTCTCTAATGCATCTCCTGCTCAAGGCCCACATGATTAAAACCCTGATTAAGCAAAGAACATTGTTTGTTCTGCTAATTGAGTGGATCGTGCATGAAATGCTCACCTTAGATCTCACCACAAGGAAAAACAAAACATTCAAGATTAGAAAAGCATGTCATCTGTGCTATAGATCATAAAGCCTTGACACTGTATATGATGAACATCATGCACTGGAAAAATTGAAATCTAGATAAGTCATTTTTTCTTAAAAGAAGTGCATTTTTTCTTGGATTGAGGAGGTAAAAGAGATACTTTGCCAATGAAACAAGACAAATTACACTTAAAATAAGAAAACACAATTGAGTAAAAATACTCATTCCATTGGCAAACTATCTAATTTATCTACTCAAGTTAAGGGTAAATACACTTAATTTAAGGTAAAAACAGCAACAATAATTCTAAGGATTGATGTTTAGGAGACATTTGGGTTCATCTAGATCTCATCGGGCTCTGCAGATGTATGGAAAGAATTTAGTTACAGTTTTTTTTTTTTTTGTTAAGAACACGAGTAAATGGAAATTTAAAAAAAAATAGTAAAAGCAATCTAGAGGTGAAGCTTTAAAAAAAAGTCTAAATCAAGGTTTTGAGAGCATATTTGCTGTTTTCTCAGATTTGAATATTTCAAATGGAACTTTTCTTTAACTCTTTTATTCATTAATTTTTTTTCTCTGATTTTTTATTTACAAGCATTTTTATTTTCTCTTCTTAGGGTTGAATTTTAAGAATTTCATTCCTCTCAAATTGGGTTTTGCAGATCACACTGTTCACTCCTTGGTGCAGGCAGGAGTGAGGAGCAAAGATGCATTTGTTTTGGTCTGCTTGAAGCTAAGTGAATGTCATCTGGAAAACTAAATTTGAAAAGAAAGCAATTTGTAGAATTAATACTGAAAAAATTACATTTGAAACAAATTAAACGGGGGGAAAAAAAAATAAAGAAATTAGTTTTGAACACGAAAAATATAATATATATATTGTGTTTGAATAAAGCTTTAAAAACAGCAAAGTTAAGGGCAGATTATACTTCTGCAACCGCACACATCAAATGTTGCTTGGGTCTGGTAGCGAACCAGTTTTGCTGGTATGCCTCTGCGACGTCGGTCTGGAATTTCTAGGGATCCGCAGCAGTTTCCCGCCAAAGCGCAGGGCGGAGCCTATTCGAGAACTCGCAAGAACTTCGGCGGCGCCGGCGGGAGTGTTTATCTTCCAAAAAAATAATGGCGCGTCTGCAAGATATCCCGGATCTAGGGTTGCTAGACATCGAAGAGGATATATTTATTTCTATAATTTGTCTGAGGCATCGTACAAGTGGTTGTACTTCCGAACCTCCTCGATCAACCTTACGTCGTAGTTTTCCATTGTAGTTGTTCCTCAGTTTTTTAAAAATGGCGCGCCCCGGCACCAAGTCGAGAATGACGACCACACAGACACCCGGAAAGGCATACCAAGGACCAATCACAGCGCACTTCCGCTTGAGATCTGCGTGGGTTTGCGACCATCCGACGGGTAGTCAGTATTTTTTTGAGGTGCGAGACGATGGTTACAGACCTCTGCGTGGTCGCACACAGAGACAAATTTGACGGTTGCAGAGGCTATGCATCAGAAGCATAAATAGGCCTTTACTCTCAAACCTTTTTTTTTAACAAAATGTTTTTGTAAAATTCCAATTTCCGCATAGCGTGCGTGAATGGTTGTTTTTTCTATTTGTCTCTGTTGCCCTGCGATGGACTGGCGACCTGTCCAGGGTGTACTCCGCCTCTCGCCCGTAGACAGCTGGAGATAGGCACCAGCACCCCTCACGACCCCAATTGGGATAAGCGTGATAGAAAAATGAATGGATGAATTTCCGTATTGCATTTTTCATTTCAAATGTCCATTAACAAAATATTTTATTTCTTAGGAACAATAATCAAACAAAATTCCCTCCAATGTGACAGTACCAGATAGGCCTATTTTAGCCCTTCATTTTAACGGCACAAAACATGTTAGCGCTGGATTATCTACCATGCTATCATTATTAGCTTCTGTGTGTTGCTTTCAAAAAAATAAAACACATGAAATAATAAGAAATCATCATAAAATGTGACTTTCTCCATTTGGGACAGCTGAGGGGTCTCCAAAGTTCAGGGAAGTTGGGCCTAAATCTGTAGCTGGGTGGTAGCGAGGCTAGCTGTGTCCTTTGTTAGGTTTCTTTGTTCACCAAGCCTGGACATCTGCACTCCTGTAGACTCAAGGAAAATGTTATAGACAGTGTGGTTCTGGGATTAACCAAACAGGCTAGAGTTCCTACCCTGAATAGGGCAAAAAGAGAAAAGGTAGCAGCCTTAGAGGCTTTACACCAAGCACAATGAGGGTGGGCATCACATGTCTCTATTATGTGTCTCTAAAACCGTTTTGCAGATGGGATGGTGCATCTTAGGTTTAAGAGCAGAGAAAACCATTTTGCTGCACCAATGCTCAAAATTAATATTGTGGCCTATGGCATGACAGAGCAGAAAATAGATTATAATGCAACAGAATGTATTTAATGGCATCAATGTATAACCATATAACATTTTAATGATCGGTTTGTCACAATTCTCTATTTCCTGATTTCAGATGCAATCAGAGCCAAGAGGATGAGTTTCGGTGCTCAACGCAGCAGCAGCGCCTCCGCCTCCACTGAAGACGGGATGCGGAAGATGAAAACAAAGGAGCAGGTTTCAACTGTAAGTCTTATTTAAGGATATTCAGAGAATATTCTATGTTAAGGTTTTAAATATAAAGACAAGTGTCGGGAAAATGTTTAAGAAACATAATCATTTAATTATCCATGTATTTATCTATTTAGGTTATTTGATAGGCACAGCAACATTAACATAGACACACCAGTCACTGAATTAGAGTGATTATAGTTTACTTAACCCCAAATGGGATTTTATAGACAGTATATCTAAACACTATTAAGAAGTGAAACATAATAACAATGTCATATAATAAAATATATTCATATGTATAAAATCCTATATAGAAACTCAAAATTAATTAAAAGCAATGACAATTAAAAAAAAAA